GGCCGGCCCTCTAATCTTTTTTCTTTATGTTCCTCAATCTCAATAATTTTAATTGTCCTATCTTCAAGTTTGTTCTTTCTTTTTTCTCAAATCTGCCTTTGAATCCCTCTAGTGAATTTTTCATTTCAGTTATACCTTTAGCTCTAGAATTTAAGTTTTCTGTCTCTTTATTGATATTTCCATTTTGTTCAGACATCATTTTCTTGATTATTTTCCCCCACACCTTTTTTTAGTTCTTTGAGAATCTTTAAGATAGTTTTTTTGTTTGTTTGTTTGTTTAATCTTGTCCTGATAATTTTTACTTGGAATCTGAAATTTTGGTTTAAAATACATTTAAGATAGTTTTAAAGTCTTTGTTTGCTTGGTGTACCATCTGGTCTTTGTCTGAGACAGTTTCTGTTGGTTTCTTTTTTCCTTTGGCAACCTGATATCACTATCACTGAAACAGAAGCTTATATGATCAGGAAGAGATGAGAAAACAAAGAAAACGTCCCTCCAATTGCTCTAATACTAGCTGAAATGTTTGCACACCTGTTGAGATTCATAAAGTCACCAAGATTATATAAAAGTTATACCTAAGTAAATTATATATCCTGAAGTTATAATTTAACCTTAATTAGGAAGCTAAGCTGTATAAAACCAAGTATTAATAAAAAAAAATTTTTTTTAAAAACTTCCTCAAGTTAAAAATATGACTTGAAGTAACCATGAGACAGGCGTTGGAGGGAACTAATCCCAGCTTTGAGTCTAAGATCAGGCCTTCAGGAAGTTTGGCTCTGTCTGTGAATATTTATGGTTGGAGCTGAGCTTTTGCCAGGTTATCATATTTCATCATAAATTTACGCTTTCAAGAAACATTTATTGAGAAACACTATCAGTCAGATAGTAGAGGAATTTCTTCTTAAGGAATTTATAGTCTACTGAGGGCAAACAGTTTATTGCAATGGGATATGAAAAATGACGGGAGGAGTATATATACACAGGCACACCCAGGTGAGGAACCCAACCCAGAGGGTGGAGCCGAGAGAAGGACAGTGTTAGAGAAGGTTATATGGAAGGAAGGTGTGAGCCCTGTACTTAATCCTCAAGAACAAGGAAGATTTAGGAGAAAAAAAAGAGTACTGGTTCTTCTAGACAGAACTGTGTGCAAAGACCAGTAAGCAAAAAGGATGCATTAAGAGTACTTAAAATAGTTCCGGACAGGTAAAGCATGGTGTTCTAGGGCAAAGAGGCCAGAGTGACTAATAAGCAGCGTCCTGGTATGAGTGCTGCACTGAGGAATTTGGACTTGACTGAAAGGAGCATTTGAAGATTTTTAAGCAGGGGGAAGGGAGTTACATAATGAGATTTGAGCTTAAAGGTCATCTTGGCTATGGGGAAAATGCAATTAGAAGACCTCTGCCTCTGGCAATATAGTGGTCCTATATTAAGTCATGAGTAAACTTTTTTTAATGTATTGTTGGGCCTTTGGAAAGTAAAGGAAATCTTCAGCTCCACCCCTTCACCCGTCCCCCGCCAAACAAACACCAAAATTAAAATCCTGAAGGTGAGCAATAAACAGACATGAAAACCAGATTGCTCTGGATTAAACTGCCAATTCAGTCCAGAGATTCAGGAATTGGGTAGTCAGGAATAAAACTTGGGATTGAGATAGAATGGGGAAGCTAGGTATAAATGTGGTTCCCGTTGTGTGGCATTCCCCCATGTCTGTCTCTCAGGAGAAACAAATGCAGACCTTCCTGTTTGGAGGAAGACACCCTCAATTTAGACCTCCCACATCTCGCATAAGCACAAAATGTAGACCTCTTAATCAAATATCAAACATACAAAGAAACAAACATCCATGAGAGAATCAGCAGAAATAACAAATAATAGGTCTTTCAAGGACCTCAGATCAGACAATATAAAATATCTACTTCATTTTAAGAAATAAAAAGCATCACAGAATGAACAACAAAAAGAAGTGATCGCAGATGACCAGGCAAATGTGAAAAGTAACTACATAAAACTTATAGAAATAAAAAGTAGTTGAAATCAAAATCTCAGGGTTAGTTTAACAGATGTAGATGGAGAGAATAACTTGGAAGCCAGATATGAAATAACTCTTTAGCAAGCAATACAGAGACAAAGGAAATAGAAAATATAAAAGAGGTTAAAAGAGATGAGATTAGAATAATAAAGATTGAAGCCCCAGAAGGAAAGAAGAAAAACAGAAGAAAGCCAAAATTTTTAGAGATAAGAGCAGAATTTTTAAGAACTAAGAAATGAACAGATACAGGAAGCTTATACCAAACAGGATAAGTAAATTCACAATCACGTTGTAGGCAAACTGCAAAACACCAAGAGAAGATGTTAAAGTACCAAAGAAAAAAGGCAAATCACCTACAAAGAAACCACAATCAATAAGAATGATAGATTTCTCCTTTTCGACAATGGAAGCGAGAAGAAGAGGGCATAATATCTTCAGTGTGATAAGAGAAAACAACTTAGAATTTTATGTCCAGAGAAACTATCTTTCAAGAACGATGATGAAATAAAGCCATTTCAGATAAGCAAAATAGAGTTTCACTCAAGACTTTCACTCAAGGAAATTCTACTTTAGGAAAAAGGAAAATGGTACCAGAAAAGAGTCTGAGATGCCAGACGGAATGGTGAGCAAGGCACTTGGTAAGCACCTGAGTAAATCTAAACAAGTGCTACCTGGATAAAATCACGATGATGCTCATCTTAATGTCTAACTTGTGAGGTTAGAAAAAGAAAATATTGGTCAGCTAGGAGAGTAGCTAATATATTGATTCATTTTAAAAATAGATCTTGTATTAATTTTAATTGTCATGCATGTTAAAATGTCAAGGATAACTTTCCAAAAGAAAAGCGAGTGTATAATTTACAAAGCAGCAGAGAAAAAATACAATTAAAAAAAATGTTCAGGGCCGGCCGAGTGGCGCGATGGTTAAGAACTGGCTTGGGATGCCAGGGGCCCCGGTTCGGATCCCACATGCGAGGGCCAGTGACACTGCCCTCTACAGCTAAGATGCTGAACAACAGCTCAACCTGGAGCTGGGCTGCCGTGGGTCATCGGAGACAGCCTAGGCTGCAGTCCCTGTGGCAGTGGGTTGCCATGGGCTACCGTACATAGCCAGCAGCCAGCGTGAGCGGCCAGCAGCCGCAGTGAGCGGCCGTCCAGAAGCCGGCGACTGATCTGCCTCGCCCGGGAAGAGCGCAATGATGGTGCCAACTTGGGCCAGTGAAGCAACATCCTCCACAACTAGACTGAAGAACAAAAGGACAACTTGTCTGTTCCCCTTCCCCCAATTCCCCAATAAAAATCTTTAAAAAAAAAAAAATGATTTGCCTCTATTTAGCTTTGCGACCTCTGTCACATTATGTAACCTCCATAAGCCTTCGTTTCCTCATCTTTAAAATGTGGATCATAGTAATACCTTCCTTACAGGGTTGTTGTGAAGATGTAATTAGATAATGCATGCGAACAGCTTAGCCCAAAAATACTACATAGTAGGTGTTCAGTAAATATTAGACATAACTGCCCTTACCGGTCGTCTAGTTGTGGTAATGCTTTAAAGCCATGGTAGACCCTCCCTGCCAACATCTCACCCAGCTTCTCTCCAGCGAGAGGGAATGCTACACCCAGAGATAGCTGGGGAGTGTTGGACGTCTGATAACTTGGGTGGATCTTCCTTGTGATAGTCGTAACTCCTTGCTCAGAACCTTCAGGATTCAACAGTGCCTTTCAGTAAAAAGTTCAAAGCATCAGGGCTGGCTCCAGGTAACTCGACCTCATGGTTTCTCTTTAAATCCTTGAGTTAGATCTCTAAACATATTTGAGGTCCCTTTCCATGACACTTTAGTTTAAAATGTCACTTTGAAGAATAGGTGGAATTTGGACGATTTTCTTCATCTGGAAAACTCTCCCTCTCTGCCGATTCAACCTATTCTTCAAACTCCCAACTCAGGCCTCAGAAGAGTTCCTGGCTCCTCTAGTGCAAAAGTAATGTATAGTTTGAAAAACTATCATCTAAACCTAACTTCCACCAGTTATTCATGCCTGTCCCTTCTACTGCTTTTTCAGTTGAGCTTTTATTGAAATTTTATATTATCACAGAACTTGCCTCAAATTTGCATGGTCTTTTCCAGCCAGATTTCCAGCTCTTTAAGACAGTGGCTGTTTCTTACATGTCTTTTGGATCTTCTATGGCGTCTAGGGAAGGGAAACCAACATTTAAGTGCCTACTGTATGCCAGCACTGTGATAAATGCTTTCTTCTGTATAACGTCTCATTTGCTCGTCACAGCAAATAGGAAGATAGATATTGGTGTCCCCACTTTACAGATAGGGACATTGCACTTGAGAAAGTTCAAGTGATGTACCTAAGACTCTTAACTAACGTCAGCGGCAGAGCTGGGTTTCTACACCACCCATCAAAATAGCCTGCAGATAGTACATCTCTTGGAGGAGTAAAAGGTTCAAGGGGTTTATTCATTTGTCTGCTTATTCGTACCCCACTCTGAAATTTAGAGTGTCACAAAAAAAGATTTCGAAGAAGCCAAAATTCTTCTCAAAAATTAAAATTTGACATACCAATTACTAACTAACAGCCAAACCACAGTAATACACGAAGAGCTTAAAGCCGGACAGAAAATGATACAGGGTGGGGGATAAAGGGAATTACAGAGATTCTTTTCTCTTACTCTGTGCTTTGAGTTCATGTAATAGGATGCAAAACAAATCACAACAAAGTGGACCATCCTTAGGGTGCTTGCGGCAAGTCCATATCCCTTTCAGAACATTCTTTCTCTTTTCCCCTTTTCTAGGGTTACACATCTTTCTGGAATGACTGCATATCATCTGGCCTGCGAGGGGGCATCCTGATAGAGCTGGCCATGCGGGGTCGAATCTATCTGGAACCCCCTACCATGCGTAAGAAGCGCCTCCTAGACAGAAAGGTACAGCATCCTCTGTAGACATCCTCTTAGCTTAGCAAAGGGCAGGGGCCAGTGGTCCATTTTGGAGGCATAGGAAGGCTTGAGTAGTGAGACAAGATAAATTGCACTGACTCAGTTGTCCCATCGTCTGACCGGTCTCATTATCCTCTCCCAGAGGGAGAAATCAAGTAGACATAGTCTAAACGGGTTGCAAGAATTTCAGGCTTTTTTTCTTTTTATGCAGAAAAATCCCATGTAGGATGCTTTTGATTAGTCCTCCGTCTATAGCTACAGCTAGAACATTCTGAGATAAGAGTATTGTATGGGGGGACGCAAGCACGTGGGTCACTTGCAGTCTTTGCTTAACACCGGTCGTCCTCTGATAACCATCCAATGCCTCTCCTTCCACTTACTGTCCTGTCCAACATAGGAGCTACACTCCTGCCTCCATTTTTTTTACTCCTCGTTTGTGGACAACTTCACTGTCATACTCATCACTCTGCTGAAACCACATTCTTAGGCACCACCAGCTCCTTTTCAGTCTTTCGTAATCACTTTTAACCTACACGTGGCATTGCACACCCTTGACCACCTCCTCCTGCTGGAAGCTTCCTTCATTCTTGGCCTGCATTACTTGCGCCTCCGGCTGTCCCCTGTTTCCTGTACTCCTCCCTTCCTTACCAGCTGAGCCTCAGTGTGTATCCCTTTGCATGACGTCTGTCCTTCTGGAGGGAGCTTTTACCTTTACAGCTTTGTCGATCGCCTCCATGACAGTAACTCACAAATCCTAGGCCTGCCTTCTTTTTCTGCCTCAGGAACACATTTAACTGTTGGCTAGACATTTCAACTTGGCTGTCCCTTATCAGATAAAACCGGACTTGTCCAGTTTTCCCCCAAACTGTCCCTTTCCTGACTTTCCTATCTTTCCTAATTGTGTTACAAGTAGGTTTTCCAGACTCAAAGAATTATTATTGAACCTTTTCCCTATTATCATTTATATCCGGTTTGTCACTAATGCCCACGTCACATGTTCTTTTGGTCTCCCCACTGTCACCCCATCCTAGATTTTTAAACTTCTTGAGAACAGGGATGGTATTTTATGCTGCTCTGCATTTTCTACAACACTTCACCCATAATGTATATATGGCATAATGAAAGGTTTTGAGTTGAATGAACCAGGGCCCCTGTTTCTCCTTTCCTAAAAGGTACTGCTAAAGTCAGACAGCCCAACAGGTGATGTTCTACTGGATGAAACTCTCAAACACATCAAAGCCACGGAACCCACAGAAACTGTCCAGACATGGATAGAGCTACTCACCGGTAAGAGGGCTCAAAATGCGTCCGAAATCCCACACTTTGTAATCTTTATCCTACTCTTAAGGTCTGGAGAAGAAGCACAGAAATTCAAGGTGCTGGGTAAGATATACATGATTCACTGTTTAACTACGAATGAGGGACAGAAAAGGCGTGGCCAGTCAACACCGAAAGCTTTCCAAAGCGTCACCTTACCTCTGCCACCCTACCCCCTAAGCTCTGTAACAGTATTCTTCACAAGAAGTTTTTTTTGTTTTTGTTTTAAGCTGAGCCATCCTGCCACTTGTTGGCAGCTCAGCAGCAGCTCAGCTCGGGCTGGGAGTCAAACCGCTGTTGCTCAGAGCTCGCACTCTTGAGCGAGCTCTTAACCAACTGAGCCATTTGGCCGGCCCCACAAGAAGTTTTCTAACATCTTTATTGATATATAATTCACATACACATTGACCCATTCAAAGCATACATTTAAATGGGTTTTAGTATATTCACACAATCATGAAACCATCCATCACATTCTTCAGTTTAGAACATTTTCATCACCCCCAAGATAAACCTCATACTCAATAGCAGTTTTCCCTACATTTCCCCCCAACTCTGCTGCCCAGCTCTAGGCAACCGCTAATTTACATTTTGTCTCTATAGATTTGCTTATTCCAGATACTTTGTATAAATGAAATTACACAACTTGTGGATTTTGTGACTGGTTTCTCAAGATAATGTTTAAGGTTCATCCATGTATCAATATTTACTTCCTGTTTGTCTGTTTTTTTAAGGACAAGTTCAAAAACTTTAATGTGAGTCACTAGATCTATAAAATAAAATTTTAGGAAATTCTTCCACAGGACACTTTGAGGTCATAGCCACTGTCACCTTCTGAAACAGTTTTTTTTTAATTGACATTTTTATTGAGATATCTGTAGATACACGTGCGGTTGTAAGAAATAATGCAGAGAGATCTCTTCTATGCTTTGCCCAGAATCCCCCACTGGTAACACTTTATAAAACTATAGTATGCTATGACAACCAGGATATTGACATTGATACAATCCACCAATCTTACTAGAATTTCCCCCAGTTTTAACTTGACTCTTTTATGTTGCTGAATAATATTTCATTGGATGATGGATATGCCACATTTGTTTATCCACTCTCTACTTGGTGGACATTTGGGTCATTTCCAATTCTTGGATATTATGAATAATGCTGTTAACATTCATGGGCAAGTTTTTGGGTGGACATGTTTTAATTACTTTTGGGTATATAGTAAATTTTTTTTATTGTGGTAAAATATACATAGCATGTACCTATTGGCTATCTGTATGCCTTATTTGGAAAAACGTCTATTCAGGTTCTTACCCCGTTTGATTTTCTTTTCTGTTTTTTTGTTTTTTGTTTTTTGTTTTGGGTTTTTTTTAAAGATTTTATTGGGGTATTGGGGAAGGGGAACATTGTGTTTTTCCAGGACCCATCAGCTCTAAGTCAAGTTGTTGTCCTTCAATCTTAGTTGTGGAGG